CGCTCACTCTCAATGATCATGTTGTGCAAGACTACACAAGCTTGCATTATGTACCATAGATCTTCCTTATGCCACATTCTTGCAGGACCCCGCACAATTGCAAAGCGAGCTTGGAGCACCCCAAACGCTCTTTCCACATCTTTCCTCGCTGCTTCTTGTGCCATTGTGAAGTGGATCTTCTTGTTGCCCTGTGGATGTTGAAAAGCTTTGACAAACGTTGCCTAGGCTGGGTATATCCCATCAGCAAGATAGTACCCCATTGTGTACTTGTTTCCATTGACCATGTATTCCACTTGTGGCGCCGTCCCAGAGGTCAGACTTTGGAAGAGTGGAGAGTGGCGCAAAACATTGATATCATTTAGAGAACCTGGAAGGCCGAAGAATGCATGCCAGATCCATAGATCTTGTGATGCAACGGTCTCAAGGATCACGGTCGGCCCATCTTCTTTCCCTTCGTATGCTCCTTTCCAACCTACTGGGCACTTGTCCCATTTCCAATGCATGCAATCAACGGAACCAAGCATTCCTGGGAACCCTCTTGCACTATTAATTGCCAACAGCCTGGCTGTGTCCTGGGCATTGGGGGCCCTCAAGTATTCTTCACCAAAGACCTCGACGACAGCCTTCACAAAATGTTTCAGACACTCAATGATTGTGCTCTCTCCCATCCTCACATACTCATCCAAAAAGTCGGTCGAAATACCGTAGGCAAGCATCCGAATGGCGACAACAACCTTCTGTATGGGAGAGGCGCCAAGAGTTCCGATGGCATCGGGCTTCTGACGGAAATAGTCATCATGAGACTCCACTGCATCCACTATCCGCAGAAAGAGCGACTTGGACATACGAAACCTCCTTCTGAAATGTTTCTCACTGTATACACACTGGTCCGCGAAGTAGTCTAGGTAGATGCGATTGTGACCTTCAGAAATGTTCCGTGGCACTTTGCGGTGACCCGGCAACGATCCACGAAACTTTTTCTTGCGCTTGTTTCTCCTCGAGCCCTCAAGAAGACCAGCAATGATGAAGAGGTCGTCATCATCAGATTCATCCTCTTCATCCCACCCTCGACGAGCTCTAGTTCCAAACCTTGACATCTGCCATAGCAACAAAAAAAAGGGAAAAAGTTAACAGAAAAGTTTGTATTGCTATTGCTTTCTTCTACCTATAAAAAGTGTAATATTTTAATTTCGACATCTCATCTTCCACCTTAGTGCAACAAGAACAAATTCAAGAGACATAACAAAACTGTATCTTTAGCTTAAAGTCCTGTACTTGCCGCAACCCAATCCTGTAATAGGATTTTTTTAGAAAAAGTGTTTAATGGTTCGACAAGCTAAGGTTCAGGTTGTACTTTCACCTTGCCTTTTCATGACTACTACACAATAGGAAGTCTGGAACTGGTCTAATTGGTTATAGATATGGAGTTTCTGAACCTTTCTCCTCCATGTTTCTACTACTTTCTGATCGCCATTTGTGGGATGGGTGCTAGTCTATTAGATAAGTCAATAGTATCATTTGTACCATAACTTATCCACAAGTTGTTAGGTCATCTCGCTTAATTACCAACAAATCAATCAGTTAATGGTCCTAAATTTTTTATCAAATAAAAAAACAAGAACAAATGGAGTTGGGCAGGGGCGCGCAGGCCGGGACAGGGGCATCGATGCGCGAAGGCCGGGACAGGCATGGGAGGTCCAACACAGAGGAAAGGAAGGGCCTTGGGCAGGGGGTTGCTCACTAGGGCTCGTGAAGATGTCGTCCGGGTCGTGGTTCACGGGCAAAGAGGATGGTGCCGCTGGGATGCGCCGGCCAAGCGCGAGACGGGCTTGCCAGAGAGCGGCGTTATGCGCGGCGAGGTGGTTCCGGCGGTCGACGTCGAGGCGGCTTCGTGCGGTCCAGGGGCTTCGGCTCGCCGTCGGTGGCGTGGATCAGGCGGGGCGCCGGAGCTGGCGGGGCGCGTGTGCGGGGCGTTCTTGGGCTGGAATAGGGCGTTGAGCTAGAGTTGGAAGCAAATTTGGGTCCCTATTTTTTGCAGGCCAGCATGCAAGGCTGGAGTTGCTCTAAGTTCCAGCTTGAACCGCCGCCGCCGCCGCCCAGCGACATGCCATGGCAGCCATCGCCGCTCTTCGCCGTCTTCCGCCAGCAACGCCTCGCCTCCTCCTGGGCCGCCGCCGTAGCTGTCCACGCGCGCTCCGGTCGCCACGCCACCGCGCTTACCGTCTTCCGCCGCGTCCTCCGAGCCCACCCCGCCGTCGCTACCTCCGACCACTTCGCCTATGCCGCCCTGCTCCGGTGCCGCGACCGCCGCCTCGCCTACCAGATACACGCCCAGGTGTGCCTTCGTGGTCTGGCCGCCTCCAACCCCGTCCTCGCTTGCTCTCTCCTCGTCTTCTACGCCGACTGCGAGGACTGGAACAGCGCCACCAGGGTGTTCGCCGAAATGCCGCGCCCAGACGCCGTCTCCTACACCGCCATGATCTCCTCCCTCCTCCGCGCCGGGGACTGCCACGGGGCGCTCGCGCTCTACCCGTGCATGCTCCCCCTTGGCGCGCCCACCCAGCACACCTTCTCCAAGCTGCTCGCCCCCTGCGCCTCCATGCGCTTGCACTGCCACGGCACCCAGCTCCACGCGCAGCTCCTCCGCTGGGGCTGCTGGGGCCCCCACCTCGGCCTGGTCCTCAAGACCGCGCTCGTCCACATGTACGCCGCTTGCGGCGCCATGGTCTCCGCACGCGCCGTGCTCCACGCCACTCCCGAAACCGATGTCGTTCTCTGGACGGCAATTATCACCGCCTACACGCGCCGTGGCCAGCTTCAGCCTGCTCTGCTGGCGTTCCGTGACATGGAACGCTCTGTGGTGCCTCCCAATGCCTTCACCTACGCAGCGCTCATCGCTGCCTGCTCCGCGGACCACTCGCTGCACATCGGACAGCAGCTCCATGCCCGCCTCTTCAAGTCTCGTCTGGAGCACGACACCTCTGCTTGCAATGCGCTCCTCTACTTGTACAGCAAGTCCTCCGCACGTCCCCTCGACTTGCTGCATGCTTTCCATGCGGTTCACATGCCCAATGTGGTGACCTGGACTTCCTTCATCGCTGGACTCATGCGCCATGGCAGGGAACAAGAGGCATTTGCGGCATTTGCTCGTATGCGGGCTACCGGGGTGCAGCCCAACTCCTTCACCCTGTCTACTCTTCTGAAAGGCTGCACCTCTGCACATTCATGTCTGCACGCTGCAAAGATCCATGCCTATGTGCTCAAGACCAGCTCTGAGTCATTGGACGTGTCTGTCGGGAACTCGTTGGTTGATGTGTATGCAAGGTCTGCAAGACTGAATGACGCGTGGGAGGTGGCTACCACAATGTCATTCGTGAGGGACAGATTCACATACACGAGCCTGGCCAAAGGGCTGAATCAGATCGGGCTTCACCACAGGGCACTCGACTTGATACTTCACATGTTCCACGAGGAGGTTACTATCGACGGTTTCAGCCTAGCTTGCTTCCTTTCTGCTGCTGCGACCTTGGCATCCATAGAGTCCGGGAAGCAGCTGCACTGCTGTGCAGTGAAATTGGGATTGAGCGGTCAGGTATCTCTCTCCAACAGCCTTATAAACATGTACAGCAGGTGCAAGTGTCTGGAAGATGCTAAGCGTGCTTTTGAGTCAATCAGGGAACCCAGTGTCGTGTCGTGGAATGCTATAATCTCCGGGACGGCATTCAACGGCTCTTACACTGAAGCGTTGTCAGTTTTTGAAGACATGATTTTGGCTGGAGCTCAGCCTGATGGGGTCACTTTCACAGTTGTGCTTTCCGCCTGCAGCCATGGTGGCTTAGTTGACATTGGCATCAAACATTTCAACTCTATGACGAATATGTTTGATGTTCCCCCACAAAAGAGCCACTACGCATGGTTCCTGGATATGCTAGGACGAGCAGGCCGCTTTACAGAGGTGGCACACACCATCGAGGCCATGCCCGTCCAGCCAGACGTGTCAATTTACAGGACCCTGCTGGCATATTGCAAGCTCCACAATGAACAGGTGGTTGGTGAATATATTGCCAAGAAGGCACTAGAGTGGGATCCATCAGATTCACTGTTACGGAATATGCTTTCAGGCATCTCCTCGGATACAAGATCACGATGAACAGACATATTTGTGGGATGAACAGGGATGCAAGTATCCAAGCTGTGGGCTACCAATCAATTGCTGAAAACTGAGCTTGGGTTCTTGTTAAATATTCCCAAGGAAACGCATGTATTCTCTCTGTGCAATTTCTTCAATATAAGAAAAGGAGCTCCACATTAAGCTTGGGATGAAGAGAAGGTTAAATTCTGGGTCTGCTTATTTCTTCTTGTGGAGACACTTCCCCGTCAAGAATTTATGGAGATTTCAGTGCATAGAAACCACACACAATACATTCTATGAAATTGATTATATCCCTTTAACGTCACAACCTTTAATGTAGCACATTATCTCCTTTTAAAGGACACATAGTCACATTCATTAGACAACACTGGCATATATTATGCAACAGTAGAACTGACAGTAAACCATTATTGGGAAATTCTCAGGCAACACTTTCCTTTCAGGGTACATTTTTCTCAATGCTGTTAATAAAACATCAGGACTTAAACAAAGTAAATGCTCTATACTCCACAAGTCCTTGCAGCCATTTCATGTGAATATCTACATCCTTATGCTAAAAGTCATTTCCTTCAAAAGTGAAATGATGACAATTTCTGTTTCTGAGCATGGATATGATAACCAGTATCACATCATATGAAAACTTCTGGGCCATGGAGTCTCCCATAGCACATCTGGTTCTCATGGGCTGGTTGCTTCTCCCCTGTTCCTGATGTTACTGGTAATATACTAATAGTTTTTTTTTCAATAAAGGAATTTTATTAATCTTTTGAGCTCATGAAATCAAGTTAATATACTAATACATGAATCTTTGCAAATTTATTTTTCTGAATTCAGTCACTTTAGCTCTTTACATAAGCCGTTTATATAGGTTATACAAGATATGTAGCAACATAGTCAATCCTCGAGCCACATATGTCCAGAAGTGGGTATAATATGCAAGAAAGGGGGGGATAAAAGGCTGCACATAAAACTTGTAGAGCTTTATGAATGGTTGAACTACTGCTTCTGGATCCTTGAGGAAACCTGTAGGCATACCAGCATGCTTAGCTAGATTTAGCTAGTAACAGTATATACGGAACTTTTGTTGATCTTATGAAGCACATACCTTCAGCTAGTTTGGGGAACATGTTGATTAAGTTGGTAACAATGTTGAGTATTTCCTGTAGGCATTGGAATTTTTCATGGGATATGATTAGTGCAAGGTATGGCTTGTTCAATTGGACTTACACAGATTTATAGAGCAGCAAAAGCAGGAGACTCATTAGTGTGCCTACCAATGCCCACTTTCCCGGCTTCAGTGGAGACTCATCGAAGATGTGAATTTTCCTGCAGTGTATGTGGAATCATTGCTATCTCAGGTAAAGGGAAGCACGTTTACTTTTTCATTGCTTATTGCAAACTGTACAAATCATAACCAACAATATCGCAGTTCTAAGAGCTTGGCTGAAATACAGAGGGGTTGATCTCAGCTACCTGATAAGAAGCACCGCTCCATTTGCTGAGCATATGTAGAAGCTGCAGCCCTTGGTAAAGGGGATGATGTATCCATTCCATTCTGTAGCAAGCAATATGATGGCATCATTGTCCTACCAGATTTTCCAATCACTTCGTAATTTAAACTCGCAGTGATCTTACCAAGGTGCCACATTACTGCAGCGGTCCGCCCTGCACCTTGACAAACCTCGTCGATGGCAAATTTGACCTTCTCTCCCATGGATTCCATCAATCGTTTGAAGTAGATACGGGTACACTGCATGCAGGGTTTTTTTTTTTTTTTTTTTACCTGGGAAGCCTGATGCTCCAATGTAACATGTAGATGTAACTGGACTGTGAAATGCTGAAGCAGATGAGAAATTAACCTTGGCATCCAGTGGCTTATAATAAGCGGTATCCTCGACGATGCAATCAGGGGCCATCAACTTATCGAGTCGTTTGCTGTTCTTTTCATTAAGGGAGGAGTAAAACTCCTGAACTACATCTGACAGGGGCGAAGATGGTAAGATGGCACCTCTGCGGTCAGCATTGTGGAGTCTGCCATTGGCGTCTGGTCCTATTGCTGCGCATATAAGCTTTAGAGACAGTCCTGGTTTCCTTGTGCTCTGTTGCCGAGGAGGCCTGAGGCTTGGCTGAGCTGGTTGGATCTTGAAACAGGGGTATTGGAAGGAGATAGATGGCAAGGTGGAGTTCATGGTGTTGGATGTGTGAGCATAGGGAAGGGGCTTGCTTGCTTGATGAAAGAGGCCGTTTGGAACTGAAGGGGTGCGAGGTTCTTGCAGCTGGACAAAATTTGCTTGCTTGGTGGTTTAAGAATAAGATGGTTTGTGTGTTGAAGAATAAAGCATCATCCATCTCGCTGTTGTCTACTACATAAGTAATGGATTGCTTTCTTTGGATGTAATCCAACTGCTTACTGGTAAGAATCTGAATATTGTAGATGCAGTTACAGCCAATCCAACTACTTACCTTTTACTGGTATAAGTAATAAGTAATGCATTTACACTTGCTGCTTCTTTTTTTGAGAATTATTTGCTCTTTAATTGATCTATTTCTTGGGTTAGCTATACCACCTATACATGGAAACTGCTCTTTGTTTGTGTAGAGTACAAGCTTGAGAGACTTGTCAGTAAATAAAGTAAAAACAAAGGAATAGAGAAGCATTCACTATTTTCGGAAGAAGCCGAAGACAGCCTTCTTGGGGTCTATCTTCTTGGAGGCCACCTTGGATTTGCTGCTCAGCTTCCCTGATGGTGGTGCTGATGCTACCGCAGCAGTTGCCCGTGGTGTTGGTGCTGCTGCAGCTGCTGCCGGTTGTGGTGGTGTTGCTACAGGTGGTGGTCCTGCAGCTGCCGGTGGTGTTGGTGCCGCCGCAGCAGTTGCCCGTGGTGTTGGTGCTGCTGCAGCTGCTGCCGGCTGTGGTGGTGCTCCTACAGGTGGTGGCCCTGAAGCAGCAGTTGCCGGTGGTGTTGGGGCCGCTGCGACCGTGGCACCTGCACCTCCAACTCGAGCACCAGGGGAGGTGCCGGATGAGTCAATGACCGGAACAACGCCCAAGATGTGGTGCTCCCTGATCTCGGTGAGCTCCCTCTCCCTCTTCTCGTTATCTGCCACTGATGCCAGCGTAGACTCGTTGCTGCCACTGACGATGCCCGCGTCCTTTTTGTCGTCGTCCTCGTGCTGCTGCTGCTGGTGCCGGTGCTCCTGCTCTGATGGAGGCGACACGGGCTCAACCACAGCAGTCACACGGGGCGGCTGCAGCTGCTGCTTGCCTGCACATCACATCACATCAATTTGCATTTGCAGCAAGCAATAGCTGAGGCTTCTCCAAGATGCAGAAGAGCAGGTACCTACCTGCGGCTACTTGCTGCGTGATGCTCTCCACCTCGAACGAGTCCTCCTCGTCGTCATCCGAGTGATCACGAGCATTGTTCAGGCTGCCGCCGCCGGTGGCATCGTCACCCTGCAGCGACATGTCGTCGTCAGAGGAGTCACTGATGAGCTCCACGTCCACCGCCATCACCATCCCGTTCCCTTTGCCGTCCCACGCCCACGGCGACGTCGATGCCGCAGGTGCCTCTTCTACTTTGACTGCGGCTTCTTGTTGAGTCTGGTGATCGCTGGCCGTTGAGGATGACGGGCTTGAGGAGTTGGAGTTGTCGCTGCCGGCGCCCCTGCCGCCACCGTCTCCCTCCGCGGCGTCGGCGACAAAGTAGGGCTTGAAGCGCGATGGCCGGGCGAGAGGGGCTGCGCCGGCCGTGAAGCTCTCGTGCCGTCTCAGCATTGCCGCTTTCTTCTCATCCTCTGTGTCCTCCTCGTCGGGATCCCTATCCCTTTCCCTTTGCTGCTGGATATGGATATCATCGAAGGGGTTGGTGTGCTGGCCGAGCAGGGACGACGGGGCGGAGCCGGGGGCAGCGTCCATCGCGGCGGCTGCGGCTGTGACATGGCCATCATCATAGTAAGAAGAAGAATGGTGGTGGAGGTCGAAGGGGTTCTTGGTCCTAGGCGCCATCACGGCGGGAATGTGGACGTCGAGGTCGATGAGGTTCCGATGTGTGGTGCGCCTGGACATGAGCTTCTCCAGCCTGGCGTCCCTCTCCAGCTCCAGCGACCCGATGCTCTGGATGCTGTGCTCGTCGTCCGCCGTCCAGGCAACGGCCGCCTTGACCACCTCTTCCTCCTCCGCTTTGTCGACGACGAGGTGGTTCTCCACGTCTTCGACGTCCTCCATGCTTGTGACCGAGGATTCGTTGTCGTCGTCAGAGGAGCTGCCGCTGCCGCTGGCCCCCGTGACCGGTTGGTGGCGGTGGATCTTCTTGTAGAGGTGGCGGTCCTCATCCTCTGATGCCGCGGCGAGGGGGACGTTGGGTTCGCTGTTGACGAGGACGGCGCCGAGAAGGAAGGCGGTGAGCAGCCAGACGGGTGAGGAGGCGGCGAGGAAGGCCGAGAAATGGAGGCGGTGGAGCAGAGCGACAAGGAGCAGGGAGCGCAGGGCCGTCCACCGGTGGCGTCGCCAGAAGCTGTGCAGGACGTGCGCCATCGATCGGTGTCCTGTCCTGTCCTGTCCTGTTGGATCACCGTCACGCCGCCGCGCCGGCCTTCTCGCCTCTTCTTCTTCTTCTTCTTCTTCTTCTTCTTCTTCTTCTTCTGTGATGATTAATCAAAACAAATTTCTGCCTGAATCCGTCGCATCAGTCGTCATCGGGGTCTCCTCGATCTGTTGAACCGAACTGGATTGCATGCAATTGGATTGATTTGATTCGATCCAAGAGGAGTTTTTTTATTACCGACTACTCCAATCCAATCCAATTACAGTATTAATCAAATCGATCCAAGGAGAAAACGATAGATTGCCACCCCCTCCCCCCTAGTGCCAGCCACAGCCAGCGGGCGAGCGGCCAAACCGGGGGAGGACACAAAAGATGGGCTGGGCCGTTTTCGTTTCGGTAATGCTATGACTCTGACGTCCGACGGTTCTGGACGCGCGTCGTATAACGATTCGATATGGCGCCACGTGTCCTCCTCCACTTGTTTCTCACGTCTTATCCGCTCGCACTGCAGTTCAGCCCGTTCACACGTTCGCTGCCGCTGCTTCTCTCCTCCCCCCATGGATCCAGGAGCCCCGTGCGCCCCCGATTGCGCTCCGCAGCGCCGCGAGCCAACGGTCGCGCTCCTCCTCGCCTTCCGCCCATCCTCCACACACCTCGCTCCCTTCTTGGCCGGCGGTGGCGGTGTCCTCTCCCACTCCGGCGTCCTCCGCCACCACGGCGGCTCCTTCCCCCACACCGACGTCTTCTTCCCTAACCCCAGCGTCCTCCTCCCCCACCCCGGCTCCCTCCTCCCCACCCCGGCGGCGCCCCTCCCCGACACCGGCGTCTCCCCCACCACGGTGACTCCTTCGCCCACACCGACGTCTCCTTCCCTGACCCCGACGTTCTCCTCCCACATCCCGGGTCCCTCCTCCCCGACACCGACGTCCTCCCCCACAGGGAGCTCCTGACACCCTCAGATCTGGTGGCCATGGGGCTCCTCGTGTAGGCTCTCTCCCCCTATATGTTGTAATTGTATCTTCTAGTTAATTCAGACGCTTCAGAGGTATGTTGCAGTTGAATCGTAAGGATGTTGCACAAGTAGATCTGAGGGATGTTTTGCCCATGTTGCATTTTGTTTCAAAGGTTTTGTTGCAGGCACTGTTTCAAAATGTTTCAATTGTTTCTAGATGATGTTGCAATCGTTCTGATCTAGATGTTTCATATGCTTGGCACAAATGTTGCAATAATATTTTTAAAATGTTTCAGTTGCTTCAATCTCATGTTGCAGTAGTTGTTCCATGTTGTTGCAAGTGTTTTTATTCGAGCGTTGTTTCATATGCTTCACACCCAGTGTTGCAATAATATGTTTCAAATGTTTCAGCTCCTTCAACCTATTGTTGCAGCAGTTTGTTCTGTGTTGTTGCAATAATATGTTCATGGTGTTTCAGCTACTTCAGCCTAATGTTGCAGTAGTTGTTCCGTGTTGTTGCAATAATATGTTCATGGTGTTTCAGCTGCTTCAGCCTAATGTTGCAGTAGTTGTTTCCGTGTTGTTGCACGTGTTTTATTCTAGCTTTCTATGTTGTTCAGCCGGGGGGCGAGCTAGGCGGCCGGGGGCGCGTGGCTCGTCGGAGGGATAGTGGACGGAAGCGTTGGGGGCGAGCGGATGGGGGTGCTGCGGTCAGGGGGGCGATGGGGCATGCTCGTCGCGTACGTGGGGAGGTGCGAAGGCGGACGCGATAGGCTGTGGGGACGGGTTGCAGGGGCGAGCTGGGGGCGCGGCACGAGCGGCGTGGGAAAAACGAGCACAGAAGAGAAACGGGGGAGCAGCGTGGGCCACCGTCACGTAGACGTGAGGAGGTTTGTGTCCGCGGCTTACCGGGCGCGCCGGCACTACCCGTTTTGTTTATGCCCATCCCATCCAATCCCACTTCTCACCATCCATCCATACTAGATTAGGACTAGGACATCCTCAAATCAAATCAAAAGAAAAAAAAAAAAAGAGAGAGAGAGAGACTTGGACCGCAGGAGCAGTAGTAAGTTGGTGGGTGCTCAGCTCACACCCTATCTATCTCTTACGCCGTCGTCGTCCTCCTCCTGCTCCGGCGACGGCCAGGCAGCCGAGCAGAGAAAAAGGAGCCGAAGCAGCAGCAGCATCACCACCACCACGTGCCTCTCTTCTCAGCTTGCCTTCCTCCCCGCACCCGGCCACAAGAGCAAGATGCCCGCCCCTGTCGCTGCCTACCCGGCCAAGATGGCATGCTGTCTCCAGCTCCACCTTCTTCGCCGCCCGGCCCCTGCTCCACTCCCTGCTCGGGTCCTCCTCCTCCTCTCGACCCCGCGCCTGCGCCTGCGCCCCGTCCGAGCGTCTCCCGGTCCCGGCTCGTCCCCGCCCAACTCCTTCGCTGGCTGGTCCTCCGATAGCGCCGATGACGGCGGCGACAAATCTACTCTAGGGTTCGGGCCAGCAGGAGGTGAGACTCACTCCATCCATCATCTTCTGCTCCTCCTTATCCTTACTTACTCATCCATTATATATTATATTAATTCCAAACACTCACAGCACCCATCCACGGACCCTAGCTATCTAGCTAGCTAAACCTTTGAGTTGATTGATGCCAATCCAATCTAGGCAGGACTTGCACCCGAATTAATCGAAT